TCAGCGCGGCTGCCTCCTCGGGGCAGAGTCCCGGGCCGGGCGGCGGCGCGCGGACAAAGCGCTCTCTCTGCCTTCCTCTCTCCTCAAGGCGGTGGCGGGAGGAGGAGCAGCGGCGGGCGGCGGCAGCGCACCCCGCGTGTGTCTGTGTGAGAGTTTGTACGGGCGTGTGCGCAGCCGAGAGTGAGCAAGAGAGCGCCCCCTCCCCGCCTCGCGCCCCCCGCGCTCCGAGCGCCCGGCTCGGCCACCCGGGCTCCTGTCCGACGCCCGGCGGGCGGAAGCGGGTCGCGGTCCCGGGCTGGGGCTCCGGGTGCCGGAACCCCGGGCAGGCGCGCTGCCGAAGCCTGGCGAGCGGCGGGGCGGGGAAGTCGCTCCGCGAGTGCGGGTGGGAGCGCGCGAGGGGGCGCGGGGGAGCGGCCAGGAGCCGCAGGCGTGGGAGGGAGAGGGGTGTGCGCAAGGTGGACCGGATGTGAGTGCGCGGCTGCCAGGGCGAGCGGGAAGGTGTGTCTCGGAGGTGAGAGGCGAGGGCAGGCTGGGAAACAACAACTTTCGCGGCGACTTGGCCGAGGCTGGCGCCCTGCGCGTTCCCGGGCGGTGCGCTCCCTGAGAGACCCGCTCTGCGCCACGCTCTCCGAGGTGACCCGGCGGCGCGTGTGGTCAAGGGGTCGCGGATGGGACTCCGGTCGCCCAGGGGCCCTCACGGACTCTGCGTCCGGATAAGTTGTTCCGGGCCCTGGGCCTCAGTTTCCCGACCAGTAAGGGAAGGCGGAAGGGCAGAGCGGAGTCGTGCCCTCTTGGCCAGACCCCGCGCGCCCGGAACCCCGCGGCGGCCGGCGGCCGGACATTGGCAGCTGTTCTCTATTCTGGGAAGTGCCGAGGGCTTCCCGGGCAGCCGCTGCAAAGCCAGGTGGCGGGTGGGGAAGCGAACGGGAGAGGGTAGGGGCAGCGGTGGAGCCTGAGCGCCTGGGTGGGGCAGCGGCGGGGGGAACGGATGCTCCCCGCCAGGCTGCGTGACCGGGTTCGGTCCCGGAGCCCGGGCGAGGGTGGCTGGAAGCGGAGGAGCGCAGGCTGTGTAGGAGTTCCCCGAGCTTTGGGAAGGGCCCGAAGAGGAAAGAGGTCCTTCCAAGCGGAGGAAACAACGTGACTGACGGAAGAGGCAGGGTTGGGATGAGAGCAGTCCGGAGCCGAGGGGCTCGGGAAGCAGCCAGACCGGCTGGAGCAGGCTGCGAATTCCAGGGCCCTGCTGGAAGCCTGGTGGTTAGAGCTGGTCCCAGCTGGGAAACGAAAGTCTATGGGAAGGAGAAAATAGGAAAATGGCAGAATTCAAAGGTGAAGGAGCAGAAGATTCCAAGCCCTGGACTTGTGAGGGCCTTCGAAGAATCGATGGTTTGTGAGGGCTTTGAGGATGTGCGGCGTATCTCTTGGAGAAACCACAAATGTAGAAGTGTAACAGATCCGGGTCTCCTGGCTGGTTCATGAAGTTTGTTTCCCAAGCATTCCTGTTGACAGGGGAATCGAGGGATAAAGGATAGCGGCGTGCTAAATATTACATTTTCTGCAAATACTCCCAAGGTGATTTTTGTCTGGGAAACACTGTAAAATGGAAGCCTACTTGCTGAGGACTCAGGACTTCCTCCTCTATGCCCCCAACTGTCTTGCCTGAGACGTTCCAGCATCCCTGGCCCTAAGCTTTTCATCTATCAAAAGGCGATAAAACAACCAACCCTTGCAGGGCTGTTGGGAAAGCTACCTGAAGGGCAACTGAGTAGTGTGTTGACACACAGTGGACACATACTTCACGTTTCTTACCCCCCCGCCCCCCGAACACTTAAGCTTTATAATACTTTCTTTTGAGGAAGGAGATTTCTTAAATAATTGACAATACTCTCTAGATATTTACAGTTATTTTCATTCTGGTGTTTGTCTCAACTATTCACATATTTCGTCCTCTCTGGAAAAGGAATTGGATTTTACTGCTCCCAAGTTCGAAATGAACTTTACCATTATTCCCCAAACTAATAAAAAACTAGGTATAGATGCTTCCCTACTAAAATGTAGTAGAGAATTACAAATGCAAATGACTTGTGTGTATATAATTTCAGCAGACTGGTTACTAATCTATCTTAAGGTTATTTACACACATGCCTCTGATTGGTATGGTCACCTTGTATAATAGGACAGCAGGTTTGCTTATTTAAAGTCTTTCACAGTCATATGTCGTAAAAGAGAAACAAGTTGGCCTCACTCCTCTCCAAAAGGTTTGCAAAACTTTTTTGTTGCATAGTATTTTCATACACATTGATTATTTGGCTCTACTGTAAAACCAAAAATATTTTAATATGGGTGCTTTAGTAGGCAGCAGATATAATCTTCAGATTCTTGGTAGAGGTGGCTTCTTATTCTGTTTTACCAGTCACTTTCAAGTGTTTTTCTGAGAAATAATTGCTCATTGCTGTACTTTGTCTCGTATGTCCTGCTGGTGTTTAATAAACAGTGGTGTTGCAAAAGGAGAGCTTGGACGGTAAGTGTGATGGAGGATGCCTTTCCACCTCACTTTTGGGTTTGCAGCACCTTACTTTAGAATTCAGAGTTCCCTTTTCAGATGATAGAGAAAGGGTCCAGGACCTTGGAAGATAGTAGAAATAGAGGGCAGCCTCAAAATGCAAAGCCAGGAATCCAGAAGCCATTTGCTCCTTTTTTGAGAGAACTTGTTTTCTACCTGTTTTGAGTTCCCTTGTTTATCCCTTCCCAGAAAGCTGACATGGAGATCACTTGGAGTTCTTGATTGATTGGGACTCAATTTAAGCCTAGTAAAAATTGTAGCTCAAAAATTTGGAGAAGTTCTTATAGTAGGCACATTACTTTTTAAAGTTTGGAAAAGCCTTTTCCTCAAGAGTTTCAAAGACAGTACAGATCCTCATGGTTTCCCTGTGATCTTTTGGGCAGGACAATATAGTAAGGTGTCTGGATAAGATTTCTTAATCTCCTTTTGCAGGTAGGAAAACTGAAGCTCAGGAAAGCAGCAGAATTTCTTCATAGTCATACAAAAGGCTTGAAACACACCTAAAAAAAACGATTTAGTCTAATGAAGAGCCCATGAGGTATTAAATCTTCATTTTGGATTTTTATGAGCAAAATAATTACTGTTGTTGAACAGACCACCTTCTGATGGCATCACCATGGTGGCATTAACTTTTTAAGTCTGCAAAACCACTGTGGAAATGGTTTTTGCTCTAGTGATAATGGTAGTCAGTAAAACCCGTGTTTCTAGCTAATAGGAGGAATTAAAAATGAAAATGAAGCCTATTTGTGGAAGGCTGGGGCAGTTCTGAGACGGTCATGCCAGTATCTGCCTGTACATCAGGACTGATTTGGTGATAGGGTAATGCCCCTTTTCTTGAGTGGCATGAGAGAATTGTCTGGCCTTAGTTGAGTTACTTCACCTCTCTGAGCTTTATATTCTTCGTAAAATATAAAGCTGACCATTTCTTTGCCATAAACTTCAGCCTTCCTTCAGTAAATTTTCCAAATACTGGACGATCTCTGAACTCTGCCCCCTTGTCTGCACTGTGCTCAGTTTCCCTGGAATGCATTTCTTCCCATGGTAAACTAACTCTTCCTTTGACTTGGCCTCAGGATAGATACACCTAGCACTCATACAAGATAAGATTTTTTTAAAAAGTGGTGGTAATAGTTGTACAACTTTGTGAACATACTAAAAACCACTGACATATACTTTGGGTGAATTTTATGGTATATGAATTATATCTCATTCCGGGGGATAAGTCTGTCTTCCCTCTTTAAATCCATTTTGACCAGTGTGAAACAATAATTGCTAAATAAACAGTATCTGGGATTTCTTTGAAGGATTAAATGAAAATATATATGGTGGCAACTAGCACAGTGCTTGACACCTTTTCTCTCTCTGTTGGATCTATTCAT